GCGTCACCGCACGCGCCGCGCCCGTGGCGCGCGTTCGCGTTCCGGAGGGGAGAGGGCGGCGATGTCGCCGTGACGCGCGGCGGCCGCGGGTCGCGCTGCGTCAGATCCTTATCCGCGCGCCACCGGAGCCGCCGGCAGATGTTATCGCCTTCCGCGGATCGCCGCCGCTATCGCGCGCTCTGCCCGCAGCGGGGCCTTTCCCGGGCACAGCGGCCGTTATCGCGATGTGTTTTGCACTGGCTTGCCAATGCCTCGACGACGATGCTGGAACTGTTAAGTCACGGTGGCACTACTGCGTAGATTAGTCATTCTTTTATTTCCTTGTTCGCTTGACAAGACCGCCGCTAACGACTATCTCAATCGTCAGAATAACCGATGAAGTAACGAATAAAAATAGCATCACCTAGATGACTTTCGTTTTTTCTTAAAAAGCGTATTTCTTACAGCTCTCCCATTCAACGGCTTATGTTTACTATCAGAAGGCTGTGACTTCATATATTAGCACACGCCGATGTTTATGTTTCGCTGGCCGCGCCGCCCGGGCTGCTTTCACGGAGAGCGGGGCGAAACCTTACGCACGACGCGATCCCCCGCGCGCCCGGGGTCTGGCCGCGCGGGTGGGCGAGCGAGCGAGCGAGCGAGCGAGACGCCCCGCGGGCCGCCGTTCCCAGATGCCGGCGAGAGAAGCCCCCCCTGCGCCCGCACGCCCACCTGCGCACGGGCGGGGGCGGCGGCCGCGAAGCCGCAGCGGAGGCGGTAACCCGAGCGCCGCCGGTGACGCGGTATGCGCCGCCGCCCCCTCGCGCGCCGATGCGCTCCACCGGGGCGGAGGGGGGGGGACCGGGGAGGCGCTCCGCGTGCAAGAAGCAAGTTCGGAGAGGCACAGCTCGATGGTGGCAAGTGCGAGCACTCGATAGCACGTAAACGCGCGACAAAGAATTGGGAAGTGGGCTGGAACCGATAGAGGAAAAGAACAGCCACGAGGCTTGAAAGCGAGGTCACTAAAAGTATAACGATTCATTTCGAATAGGAGCAATATATATTCATCCCGAAACTGATTGTTCCGTAATTTCCAGTAATTCGGGTGAATAGGTTTTTGATACTCAAACGATTAAAGCAATACACGTTTAGAACATCGAATATAAATGAGAGTGTAAATATCTGGCAGGCGGTATCATGTCTGCCATGAACTTACAAGAAAGGCCATGCTATAACTTAGTGAAACGGAAGCAAGAAGAGGAAAAAGGAGGAAAAAAGAGAGGGGGGACGTAAGAAGAGAGCGAACGAGAGAACGACACGATCGCCGCCCCCACTCCTCTCCCCTCTTCTCCTTGCCTCGCGCCCTCGCCCTTGCCACTCCCTCTCCGCGTGCCTGCCTCGCGGCGCGGCGCGCGTTTGGATTCCCTCGGCAGCCGCGGCGCAGACGCTCGCAGAATACGCGCCTAGGGCGGCGACGGTGGCGGCGGCGGCGGAGGCGAGCGTTCACCTGCGCCGCCGCCCCCCTCCTCCTGGGCTCGCCCCCGCGAGAAGGCGCGGCCGCTTTGCATGCTGTCGCCTGCGGCCCAGCGCCCGCCCCGCGCTCGGCGGCGATTGGGGCAGCGGCCCCTGCAGGTGCCAGCGACACATCCACTGGTTTAGGAACATTATCATTATTGAATAATAGGCACTAGAACGCAGGTTGGAATAAAAAAAAACACAAATATTTATGTTTCGTTCTAGAACTGTGGTACCACAGAACATGACATAATTATTTGCTTCTTATTACAACCTGTGTTCATCTACCTTTTAGTAATTCCTGTTTTATCTATGATTGTCTATAATACCAAAGATACTTAAAATTCAATAACCATTTGAACATATAATCTAGTATAATCTACTTCATGTGCTATATCTCTCATTAACGTCGGCGCGGGGGAAGGGGGAGGTATTTAACTCTATAGTGATCGTGTTTCTTTCTTTAAATTAAGATTTACAAAACAAACTGGAATAAATTATAATGAAAACTTCAGTAACTTATTTTTGACACTACGAAACTTATCAAAGAGTTCAGTTTATTGAGATGTGAAAATGAATAGTTTGTTTAGTTATTATAGTATTTGTTTCTTTCGAAACAAAGCATCGACGACCTAAAGGCAGCGAGCATAAAATGTGGTTGTTAAACAAAATAATTCATTAAATGGATGTTAAAAATAACGATATTATTTTTTTTAAGAGACATCGATGAGGCATCCCTAGTGATATGATTTAGAGATTTTTTAAAACCTCTCTCTTCGGATAAGTAAGAACGTTACTGAGAATTACAATATTTTTAATACGAGTGTATTGACATTCACGCAAGAAAAGTGGTATTACTTTCTCTGGAACGTTCTGAGGGAAATATTTCCCGTCTAAGGGTCTGCTAATGACGAAGAGGAAAATTC